CCGTGCACCCGCGTACTGTCCCATCTCTTGCGTGATCTCTTGACCACCCACGCGCATCAAGGCACGATGCGCGCCACTTGTTAGCGCTTGCACCCTCGTCGCCGACCGACTTCGACCGCTCGCCTGATGGTCTTGGCTCGTCCACGGGTCCCATCCTTTAATGCACCTACCATCCGTTCCAACAATCTCCAGCATGCCATATCCAACTGTCTTCCATCCTTTGCCTACCACGCCTTCTAGCCTCCATCCTCCAAGCTCGTTTCTTTCTTGCACAAGGCTTGCACCAACGATTCCCTTCCTTAGCCTTCGTCTTGCGTTTCCTTTGAGCTTGCTTGGCCCTGCACTTCCTAGACTTTGCCTTTGACTTTGGACCACACCCTTTCGGCCAATCTCTCTCGCATGAATCAGGCTTGAAGGCTCTTCTAGCATGTTTTCCAACCATATGTTGAGATCGTCGCTATCCTCATCCCCCGACTCGCCTGGGTTGATGACCACTTCCGTATCATTCCCCTCCTCTTCAAGACTTTTCTTGTCCTCAAGGATAATGAAATTCAGCGCACCTTCATCGGCATTGCCTTGGACATCGTCCACCATTGCTTCTCGGGCTTCTACGAGTTGTCGTTCGTATTCTTCTACGTTCCTCCGCTCGTGAAGCTCATCCAAATATGTTCGCTCCCATGGAGTTAATTCTCTTTCTAATCCTTCCAACATCTCAAGATCTTCCAAATCTAATTCATCCAATGGTAAGAAAGACAATTTTTTTTTCTTTTTTTTTACTCTCGAAAAATCGAACAAGACTAGATTTTTTTTTTTTACTCAAACTCAAACTCATGAAAATTAAAGAAAAAAAAGGAAAAATTCGAAAAAATTCGAATAAAACAAAGCAAAAAATTCGGCCCCCTCAACAAAAGGTGAAATTGAAAAAAGAAAAAGATAAATAGACAAAAACACGATTGATCACTCTCTCAATGAAAGCACCAATGATGAACGATCGTGATTTTGTCTATTTGGTGTGAATAATCGCGCACTCAGGGCCTTCGACTAGACACGATAGGTGTGACCAACAGACGCACTCAAAGCCTTCTCTTAGATACTGTGACTTCAAGACGCTCTTATGGCCTTCTCTCACTCACGGTTTGTATGATAAACACGCACTACGGCCTTGCTTAAACACACGATGAACTCAACGTTCCCTTTTCTATTCACTCATCCAAGACATCTAATAATGAAGAGTACATATGGTATTTATAGATGCAAAATAAATCTAAGCCTAATCAAACTAGATCTCCTAATTCATGCAATAAAATAAATCCTAATGCTAGTAAATCTCCTAACATCTTCTACTACCATAAATAAAAGCAACATGAAAATAAAATCCTAATATTACTATAATTCTAGATATTTGACTTGCACACCAAGTATCTTGATGCCCAAGTCATTCGCATGTCTCCAATGCACCGCCCTTGCGCGCGCCGCCCTCGGCCTTCCTATTCCTCGGCGCGCGAGGCATCGCGCGCCTCGCCTGCCTTGCACGCGCATGCCACCCTCGCCTCGCCTAGTCCTGCGCGGACTAGGCTTCGATCGTTCGCTCCGTGTGCCTCAGCCCCCAGCAACCCTACACCCGCCTGGCTTAGGACGTCACCCTCGCCTGCTCCCCACTCGCGCGCTATCGCGCGCCTCGCATTCCCGCTGGCCTCCTCGCGCGCGTCCACTTCCGCGCCTGCCATTCCTAGGCCCTCAAGGCCTAGGCTTTCTTCCATGTGTACCCCACCTCCGCGAACTCCACGTGCCTCAAGTCTG